AACTCTATAGTTAGGCGCGCGCTTGCGCGCGCAAAATTCAATTCTAGTCCTAATATAAAATTGAGATGAAATGTATGTGGCATCAAACTATTCGTAACGTGATTGGTCGAATATATCATAAGCATGAAAATATATGCAAATTCTATAGTCAAGGCGCGCGCAAATTTAAATTTTAGTAGGATCTAAAAAACTGCGTCGAATGCTGCCAACCACGTGAAAATCGGTTCATTCATTCAAAAGTTATTGCGATTTGAAAATTCAAAAAATAGTGTTTTATTAAACTTCTATCAGACTTTTGATTTTTGAGCTCGGAGAGCTCAAAATCACACGAAAATTATTTTTTTGAGCTCGAAGAGCTCAAAAACGTAATTAGTGCAATTTTTAGTGGTCAAGTATGGAATTAGCGATAAGATGCAGGGATGGCCTTTAGGGTCAACCGTTTTCCTAATTTTTTTTTTCAAAAATATACCCTTTATTTTTTTTAGTTATGTAGTTGCTCCAGTCGTTTTTATGAAACCAGGACTGTTTAAATTGTACATTTTTTTATATGCCAAGTTCATATTTCCTGAAAAGCTATAATGCACTTATTTTAATTAATTGTCCATTTTCTTGGCTGTCTTGCCACCTTTTGGTATTTTTTAAAACTTATTATTTTTCTGTATTATCTTTCGGCTCTTATAAAGTCGATAACAACGAAATCTTATACATGAGATAACATGAAAATATGTGTATATAGAATATTCTCATATGCATGCACTGTTGGAAAACTAATAGAAAACTGAAAACTGAGTGGTTTGGCACACTCACATACATACTACTTACATGTATACTCTCTTGCATTGTAAATAAACATATGAACAATTAGAGATTATTGAAACATATACATAAATATTTATGTACACATTTCTCTGTCTGTCCACACTTTGAATCTATACTTGGCGCGCGAACGTTACTGTTTCTGATTTTCTACGTTGGCAATATTGATAATTGAGTCAACTAAATAGCGTTCGTAATCTGGGAATGAATATCACCAACATGATCAAAAGATGGATTTTAATTCCGAAAAATGTGTTTTAGATAAGTGTCATATTTAATTTAAAGGTAATATCCAATGAAATTGTAAAACGGTGACAATAGTAAAATAAAAAATAAAAAAAAAGAAAATGTCAACGATGAAAGGTGTAGGAAGAAATATACCTTATCTCCAACAGCAATTTGCTGCACTTCTTGGTAACACAAGTACTAGTCCCATAGTAAAATTGAGATGAAATGTATGTGAAACCAATCTATTCGTGATGTGATTGGTTGAAAATATTTATTCTCATTCTGATTGGTTGAAAGTGAATATACAGTAGACTCTCGATAACTCGAACCTCGTTAAGTCGAAATCCTCAGTAACTCGAAAAAAATTTGTATTCCCTTCCGCTGAACCCTCAAATACGCGATATCTCGAATTATTTAGACTCTGTAACTCGAACTTAGTATCGTTTCCCTTCCAGTATCGATAAGGCATATTTATACTCTATAACTCGAATTTTAAAAGTGAATCTCTATAAGTCGAAGTTAGTAAAATGTAAAGACATTTTTCTCCGAACTTTCCAGGTTTATAGCAATCAAATCTTAATTCCTATAGGAATGTTCAATGCTTCTTACATTCTTGTTTGTAGTGTGTATTTTTGTGGACCTGGATCACGTATGATTTTTATGTACAATTTATTATTATGTATTTCAATGTATTTTAATTCACTGATTCTAACTCTAAAAGTTAATTGCCCGGTGAGCCGTCCAAATTAAAAAAAAAAAAAACAAAAAACCTAAAAAAATTTCAATAAAACATGAAAAATTGAAGTTTTCGAAATCAAAATTTTACGAGCCCAATGTATGTGAAACTAATCTATTCGTGATGTGATTGGTCAAATATATCATATGCATGAAAATATATGCAAACCCTATAGTCAAGGCGCGCGCTTGCGCGCGCAAATTCGAGTTCTAGTATTGAAAAAAATAATTCAAGTCTCGACTAAAGTTTGTCAGCCATAAGAGCCCGTGTATAAGGAGATAAAAAATGTGATTTTTGAAATTTAATATCCAAATAACTAAACGGTGAATATTTTTTAAATTTTGAGATTATATAAATGACGTACTTATTTATACGTATACTTAATTTCAAAGCTCAAAGTTGGAATTTATTTTTCAGATTAGATTCACCCGAACCTCCTTTATTACTACTTTTAGAAAAAAAAAAGTGTTTCAATAGGCTATGTGGATTATATAAGTTTTCATAGAGGGGCAAACACGATAACTATTAAAAAAATAAATTTTTTCTCTCATTTTATTTTTTAATTTTCTTATCTACCTAAAGGTAAGTCGCGGATTAAAAATTGCAGCTTAATAGTGTTTTGTTTAATTATAATTAATTTTTTTCGGCTGGCAGTTGAAGAAATTTTCTGTCCTTTGAGTAGCCATATAGAAAAATTATTTTGTTTTAATTTATTTATAATTATTATAACTTATTATTAAAATTAATAACTAATTAATTTCAAATTAATTAATAATTATTATTAATTTTTTTTTTAGACCAAAATTTCAATTTTAAGGACGTAACTTTTAAACGTATAATTGAATTAATCGCGGATAAGGACCTTTGTTGTAAAGCAAAAAATTTACTATAATAATCTAATAAAAAATTTTTCTAACATGAAAATTTTTCATTTCGCGGTTTCAGAACTTTTAAACGGTTGGTCCAATCAATAAGCAGATAATGACCTTTTTATTCAGAATTAAATTTCCTTCAAGAAAACACTTTGATATTTCAAAAAAATTTATTTTTATAATCCGAGATTAATTTTTGCCTATAAATAATAAAAGCAAATTTTAGGTGACCGTTGTCTCATTAAAACTATTATTTTAGATAATCACAATATTTTTCAGTTTAATTTATACTAATAGTCATTGTAAATATAGATTTTTTTTAATAATACTAAAAAAAGCAATCTGAAGATTTTTCGGTGTTTTAACCAACAAATTAAAAAAAAAAGTCAAATGTACCCAAGTAAATCTGGAAAGTTTAAAAAACTATATGTACTAATTTATTTTTAAATATTACAAGCCAATAACTTTTGTTATAAAAAAAAAACCAAGTTTTGAAATCTAAAAATAAAAATATAATTATTTGAGTAATTAAATAGTCGAGTATGAGATTTAAATATATTATTAACTATTTAAAAAATATATAAAGGTATTTAATAATTGAAATAATAACTGTTATTTAGTTGTTGAGAAATTTAATTCCGATAATTAGCTAAATAAACTTTTATTAATCACATATATGTACCATTTATGATTAATTATTGCTATATTATTATAAATAAGAAACCATTTAATTATTTAATAGTGTATCTTTAATTTAATAAGACAATTAAATATAAAAAAATGTGGTGGTTGAACTTGTTAAATAAACTTTAATAAAAAAATTATTGAATATTATTTTATTTTTAATTTAATAATTTATTGACATGTAAAAATTAAAAAAAATTAAAAAAATCCAATTTTTTAAAATAATTTTTTGTTAAATAAAATTGGAAAATTCTCATGTGACTAACTTTAATGTCATCAATAAATTTTTTATTAAAAAATAATCAAAAAAAAAATTTTTTTTCAATTCAAGAAATTTACTTCCTAATAAAAATTCCATTAAAAAAAAAACTGCGTAGTTTCTATCCCATCAATTTTCCAAACAAACAACTTCTTTTTTCTTTGTTACTCCACATGATTATTATTTCATTGTCGGAGATGTAAAATAGGTTAGAAATAAATAAACTCACCGATAATAGGGTTACTGCTCTGAATACGGCTTAAATGACTATTTCTTGTAGTGCGTAGCAATTGTCCAACAATTCTACTGCAACTCAACATTTCAATTATTTTATAAACAAATTTTATTATTCATAAGTTTATTATTTTTCACTGTTCAACTTCAACTCTCAAAAAACTCTGACCGTTTTTCTGCCTCAAATCTCTGTTACTCATCCTAGATCTGCGCATGCGCTGCTAGAATCCAAAATGGCGTTAGCGCGGTAAATTCAAACTTTCCAGTTCACGCGCGAGCCATTTTTTCGTGAATTTTTCAAATTTCTGCCTCCTTAATTTTCTTTTTTATTCTAAAAATATAATTAAACTTTAAAAATAAAAAATTACTGCAAAAATACTTTGTTGCCATCTCCAAGATTGAGAAAAAAAATATTTGCAGTAATTTTTAAAAATTAATTGAGAGTAAGGAGGAAAATAAAATTCGAGGTGGATGATTCAAAATGGCGGAGTTAAATAAAAAATGTTAATTACAAAATTGAACTTTTATTTCATACATAAACGAAGATAATTCCAGTGAATGAGAAACAATTCTCTTAATTACATATTAATTATTTTATTTTTATTACAAACTATTAGACTTACGGACTTGAATTTTAAATTCAATAAAAAAATAAAAAATACTAGAAGATTATGGCAAGTAATAAATTTATAAAATAGCTGCTTCCTAATATTACTCCGGAGGCGACTGGATACAATAATTATTTTAATAAAAGAAACTGAATTTGCTCAGACGGCTACACAAAAATAAAAGAAACAAATCAATTAAAAAAAATGACATCGGTAATTACATAAATTTTATTTTATTAATTAAAAAAAAAAAGTTAAAATGACGATTAATGACGATTACTGCTGCTTGCACTCAGCAGTTCGTTGATCCCCACCTGTTTTATTGTTTTTGTTATCGTTAGGTGAGTATTCATCGTCGTCATCTTCGTCATCGTCATCCTCATCGTCCTCATTGTCTTCATCATCCTCATCTTCTTCATAATCATCGCCTTCGTCTTCCAAACCTTCGCCTGAAATTTTAAATTATTTTAGATAAAATTACAGAAAATCGGGTGTAGTTACCGATATGATATAGAAATCGGCACTTTTTTTTTTATAAATTGGTTCTATATCCCACCCTCGGCCCAATCATAACAAAAGATCGGCACTTTTCAAAAATATCGGTATGAGACTTGCAAAATTCGGATCAACAATTTAACTGCTGGTTTTATTCCCAAAATCTAGAGAAAAATTTCTTGAGGCCGTCATTTTGTTAATTTTCAAAAAAAAAAAAAATGCTTCGATCAGGCACAAGATTATCTATTAACAAAACTAATTTTTTTTGTCCGATTGATTTTCGATGAATCTCCAAGGATTTATAATGATCAACGCAAGGACTTTTTGTTAGAACTGGGTCACCATAAACAGCCATAACTTTTGAAATTATCATTTTTTTTTTTTTTTTTTTTCAAATTTTCTTGAATTCTAGTCAAAACATTGTGTAATGATGCCATATTATTACTTTTATAAAGTGAAATGATTTACTGGCAAAAAAAAATTATTGAAAATTCTCTTTTTTTCGTCTCTGACCACCCCTAACCCCTTAACTTAAATTCAAACCGCGGTAGCTCATAAACTATTGGAGTTACAGAAAAAAGTTTCAGACAAGACTTTTAGGAAATTTAATTTTCTACAAAAAAAAAGGTTTCTTATAAATTTTTCAAATTTTCAATATTTTTGCCATAATTTCAACTTTAAAATTGATGAGTAAGAAATTGTCATTATTATCAACTCTCAAAAACTTTAAATTGAAATTCCAGCTTAGTATTCAAGATACAAAAAAAAGTTTTAAATAAAACCAATAGGAAATTTAATTTTCTATAAAAAAAGTATCTCATTGATTTTTTTGTATCTCTAATAGCTTCTCCAGAAATTCAATTTTAAAATTCATATAGAGCTTATAATAAAAAATTGGCATTGGATAGCCAAAATTTACAATTAATAGAAGCAAAGTTAACTTTTTTAGGCTTTCTTTTGATGAAAATGGAGATTGTTATCCGTTATTTTACGCCGAATTTAATAAAAAAAAAAGATAAGGTTCTTACTATCCGTGAAAAAAAAATTTTTTCAACTCAAAATTGAGTTCAAAGTTAGAATTTTGTAAATATATAAAAAAATTTGATAGTTTTTAGGTCAAAATTTTTACCTGTGTAATATAAAACAGCGCGAGGGACAATGCGCTCTCTGATATAGTGTCCAATCTCGAAATCACTTGTCAACAACGCTTTCATTTCTTCGTCGAGGTCGACTTCGGTATCATCTGGCACTAAAATAAAATAAATAAATTAAAAAAATAGATAAAAAAAAAAATAATTCAATAAATTAATTAAAAATGAATTTCTCTAAATAACTAATTAATTAAAAATTGAGGGAGTGATTACTTACCAACTGGAGGAGTGAAAAAGTTGAAGAAGGAATCATTCTGGACAGTTTTAGTGACGGTGCGAACGTGTCCGCGTGACTTGTGCTTCTGGTTCTTTTTGATGGTCTTCACAGTAACGTTCTTGCCTTTCTTCCAGTCGATGGTGCAGCCCTTGCTCTTGTGGATTTCAGGGCCCTCAAAACTGAACGGGTCGTTTTTCTCAGGGGCGCATTTCATGAGGTACTCTTTTGTTAAAACGGAATTTGAGAAGTATTCGTTGGGTTCGAAGTGGAATTCTAAGATGAAGCCCTGAAAGTTTATTTATATTAATATTTCATTATAATTTATCAATAAATTTTTTTTTTTTATTCAAAAAATTAACATTTTTTTATAAAATTTTTCAATAAAATTCTTTTGATAAAATTCTTGCAATAGAATTTTTAATGAATTTTTTTTCGTTTATGTTTAAATAAAAAATGTTTTTATGTTTTTTAATAAAATTTTCGTCTGAAGTTTTTTTAATAAGAAATTTGAAAGAAAAAAACTTTTAATATTTTATAGAGTTAATTATCAATTAATTTTATAATTTTAATTCTTAACAAAAACTCTTCCTAATAAATTTCAAATAAAAATTTTTCATGAAAAAAATTTTAATTAAAACTTTAAAAAAAAATTAAGACTAGAAATTTTTTTTTTAATCAAAAAATTACATTAAAATTAAAAAAATGTAATATTTTTATAAAGCTCAATATTTGGCTTTGTTTTCAATTTTAACTACATAAATTTTTTCTTAATAATAAAATAAATAAAATCGAATAAATAGAATTAAGCTCCTAAATTAATTAAAAAAATAATTTTTCATTTGAATTTAATTAATTTAAATAAATTTTATAATTTCAATTAAAAAACTGTTGTAATTAATTTAATATTAAATAAAAATTTTTATCAAGCTAAAAAATGAGAAATTATTTTTAAAGCTCAATATAAATTATTTTTTTTAATTTTCTTATTAAAATAAAATAAAATAAAAAATTACCATTGGATCAGACTCAAGGAAAATAACTTTAATATCATAAAGATGTTTTAGAATAGCCTCATCATGCTCCTGTACCATTTCATCGAGCATAGCGACATTTTTGAAAATGGTCAGCCAAAAGTCAGGAATTCCTTTCACGTTATCGGTTTCTTTCCTAAAAAAAACATAAATTATTTTTACTATCATTAATTTTCAATACTAAATTAATTTAAAAACAAAACAATTTTTCTTTTCAACTTTCAAACAATTTAAAGAAAAAAAATTTTTTTAATGTTTAATTTAATTTAAATGCAAACTAAAAAAAATTTTTTTTTCAATTTTCAAAAAAATTTATAAAGAAAAAAATTTGAAATAATTTTTTTTTGTCAATTTAAAAAAAAAAATTTTTTTCTGTTTAATTTAATTTAAATCAATTTTTTTAATGCAAATTATCAATAATAAAAATTTAGAAATTTTTGAGAAAAATTTTTTAAAAAATTAATTATTAAAATATTATTGACACATAATTGGATTAAGTGAAATAAAAAAAAATACATACTCATCGTTGTCCTTAACCTCTTCAATCTTGACCTTTTCCTTGATGTCATTAGCGATGTCATCTTCCTCATTGTCAGTCTCCCAGACAGCTTCCTCATCGGTGGGCTCGTAAATCCCGGAAACAATGTTGCTGCGCTTGTCATGGAGCTCGACGCACATTTTGTTGTACTTGCACTCAAGAGCATGGACCTCCTCGTAGAATTTGGCCTCTATGTTAACTTGGGCCAGCTGCAGCTGTTTAAGGGCTTTCACGCGTCTCTTAACTGGGGCTGGCAGGTTCTGGAATATTTTAAAAAATTTATCAATAAATTTTATGGAGGTCATTTCTAGGAAAAATTTTAAGGCTGAATGGAAATAGTTGTAACTTCTAAAATATCAAGTTTGGGAAAAATTTACGAGACTTCAATTGTAGCTTAGGAAATTTCCTATAAAAAATGTTTTTATACTATAGGCCTATGCCTAATATTTCAGGAGATATAGCAACTTAAAGAGTGCTCAGATAATTTTAAATAAAAATCAGAAAATAATTATTCAACATACCTGGATAACGTTTGCAATTTGAAAACGATTCTGTAAAGCAGCCAATAAATCTGGACGATTCATAATAATGTTGCTTACGCGGTTGTTGTCGCCGTCTTCGATAGACTCCATGTCGCTGTCTTCGGCAATCCTTTCTGAATCAGTCATTCTGATTGTTTTCAACTACTTTTTTTTATTGGTTAATGTTAGAAAAATAAAACAAAAAAAAAAAATAAAAAAAAAAATTAAAATAATAAGTGTTAATTAAAAAAATTACTATTATTTTTAATTAAAATTAAAATCGTAGAAAAAAAATTAAATTTTATATTAAAAAAAAAAGTTAAAATTTAAATTAAAAAAAAATTAAATTTTAAACTGAAAAAAAATTAAATTCTAATTAAAAAAAAATTGAATTTCAAAATTTGCAATTTTTTTTTAAATTAGAAAGAAAAATTGTTTTACTACAAAAAACTAAATAAAATTAATTTAAAAAAATTTTTTCTAACTTTAAAATAAATAAATCAATCAATTAAAAAGAAAATTAAATTTTTGCATTGAAAAAGAAAAGTTAAATTTTAAATTACAAAAAAAATAGTTATGAATTAAAAAAAAGTAAATTTAAAATTTTTTTTTAATAAAAAAAAAAAACAATTAAATTTTGTATTGAAAATAAAGTTAGAATTTAAATCAAAAAAAATCAATTAAATCTTGAAATTGAATTTTAAATTAAAAAATAATTAGTTATGGATTTAAAAAAAATTAAATTTCAAAATTTAATTTTAAATTCAAAATTTGCAATTTTTACAAAAACTTTTTTTTAAATTAGAAAACAAAAATTGATTCATTACAAAAAATTAAATCAAATTAATTTAAAAAAATTTTTTCCAATTTTAAAATAAATAAATCAATCTATTAGAAATAAAATTGTATTTTACATTGAAAAAGAAAAGTTAAATTTAAAATTACAAAAAAATTAGCTATAAATTAAAAAAAAATTAAAAATTTGTAATTTTTACAAGAATTTGTTTTTAAATTTGAAAAAAAATTGATTAATTACAAAAAACTAAATCAAATTAATTAAAAATAAATTTTTCCGACTTTAAAATAAATAAATCACTCAATTAAAAAAATTAAATTTAATTAAATAATTACAGAATTTCTAACCTCAAAACTCGGTTGCAAAAACTCTCGACATAAATGACTAAAAACAACTATAAAAAAACTAATAAATGAAAATTAATAAACTAAATAATTTCTTCACCACCCAATAACTAATTTTCTCTTAACAATTCCTATCCGGTCAATAATTATTTCAGAGTTAACAAACCAAGACCGCCATTATGTGACATTTTTTTTTTTTCAACAAATTTTCAAGGTTAATCTTAAAACTTATTAAATGTTAATAATAAATAATAAATAAATAAATATCCCGAGATTAATAATCACTTATTAAAATAAAGTGTTAATTTTTCCGAAGGAGAAAAAAATTAACACGCACATGGACTCTTTGTTTGATCGAAATTTCGATAAAACGTCCGATTTGCAATTTGCAATTTACGATGCGCCGAAAAAATTTTTTAATTAATTTTATTAATAAAACTTGGATAATTTATTGTAATTATTAAATGAATTAAATTAAAATTAATTGAGTGATTAAAGAAATAAAATACGTACCGGAATATGTAAAAGTGAAAGAACGTGGTTAAAATTATCAACGAATTTTAAGTGAGGTTGCTTCGTAGGATGCTCGAGTGAGAGTGAGAGCCAGTGAGAGCAGCGGCTGATTTACTTGCTCACTTGCTCACTTCAGACTTCAGGCAGTTTACAATCTTCTGGAGTGAAGCGCTCTTTTGAGAAGTGGTGAAATTTTAAAGCTTCGCTTCCTCTTCACTCCCGCCATTTTGTCGTAAGTCATCTGAAAAATGAATTTTTTCTGAAAAAATAAAATTTTGAAATTTTTTAAAAAAATAAAATTTTGAAATTTTTTGAAAAAATAAAATTTTGAAATTTTTTGAAAAAATAAAATTTTGAAATTTTGAAAATTACGGAAGAAAGTGTTTTTGTAAAATTTTGGGGGAGTTTTAAATAATTTTTGAAAATTTTAGGTAGAAAATTGCGGAAATTGACATAGAAATCTGCCTTTAAGGTTTGCGGGGAATTTTGGAATTTTATTTAAATTCCAAAATGTCGGAGAAGTAATTTTGTAAATTTTTATGATAAATCTAAAAATTTTTATAATTTTTTTTAATGAAAAAATTTCACATGTAGAAGTTTTGAAAAATTATCCGTGCAATTTTTTTAAGTATTTTAAGTATTTTTAAGTATTTACTTGTAATTTAATTAATAAAAAAATCAAAAACTGTTGAACATTGACTAATTTTAGTATCATTAAATATTCGGTAATTTTTGGAAATATTTTAAATAAATATAAAGAAAATTTATGAAAGTAAAGTTAGTCGACATCTGAAAATTGTTAAAAATATTATTATAAACAAAAATTATACTTGAAAAAAAACCTTAAAAAACTATAAGTACAATTGTAAATAAATATTTTTTAGTTCTAATTTAAGAAATTAAAAAAGTCGGCTAATTTTAATAGTATAAAAAATTTTATGATATTGAATTCAATAGACATCTAAAAATATCTCAGTTTTTTGTAACAATCAAATTATAATGAAAAATATTTTGCAAAAAAATTCTACATATAAAAAATTGAAAGTACAAATTAAATAATTTTTTTTTTATTTTACAATTATTAATTGGTTATAGACGTTCTGAAAAGTGTCAGATTATTGCTAATTTTTTGGTATCATAAAACTTTATTAAGTATAGAAATTTTGATTTAAAAATTTGAAAAAAAAAATTAATTGTGAGTTTTGAGAAAATATTTATGACACTGAAGTTAACAGACGTCTAAAAATTTTTGATTTTTTTTATTAATTGAATTACAACTAAAAAAATATTTCTAAAAAATTGCACTTATAGTTTTTCAAGTTTATTGCATGTGAAATTTTTTTTTTTAATTGTTTAATTGAAATTTTTTTCAATAAAAAATTTTGAAATGTCGGCTAACTTCATTTTCATAAATATTTATAAAATTTCTGAGATTTTTAAAGAACTCTTGAGATTTTTTGGAAAATATAGATTGTAAATTCTGAAAAATTGGATCGAGTTTGAAGAATTTTAATTTGAAAGTTGAAAAATTAGTATTTAGAATTTTTTTAGGGAAAATTAATAAAATTTTATAGAATATTGGGAATATTTAAGAGAATTTCATAAAATTTGAGATAAAAAATTTGAAATATTAAATTAAATTCTGGAAATTTTAGATTTAAATCTTTCAAAATTAATTTAATATAGTTTTTTTTGCAAAACAGTGATATTTCATTAATTTTTTGAAAAATTTTGTAGTTACTATTAAATTTGATGTAAATATTCTAAATTTTTCAATATAAATTTGAGAAAAATTAAAATTTTACTAGAAAAAACACAAGAATAACAAAAATTTTCCTAAAATTTACAAAATTTCATGAAAAATTTGTATGTTTTAAATTTTTCATTAAAATTCAATAAACTTTTTACAATTATAAAAAATTTTTGAATATAAATTAACAAAATTAAATAAAGATATTAAAAAACTTCTATAAATATTAAATATCAAAAATTTTAATTTTTCAGAAAATCTTCGTCAAAATTCAATAAATTTCGATAATTATAACAGACTCAGATTATTTCAATTATTTAAACTAATAAAATTCATATAAAAATTAATGAAAATAAAATTTTTATACATAAATTTGTAAAGATATTAAAATCTCATAATAAGTTTTAAAAAAATAATAAAAATTTTCATAAAAATTACAAAATTTCACAAAAAGCGTTCAATTTTCTAAATATTCTCGCAAATTACTTTAAATTCCATTAATTTTACCTAATTATCCACAAAGACTTCAATATTTCTCTGATTCACCGGAAAAAAGTTAGCGTAGAATAATTTTTTTTTTAATTAAATCATATGTCAATTAATTGCTCTTTAAATGCTCTATTAGAATCCGTAATTGCTCCAGGTCTATTACTATTAGTTAATTTTTAATTAATTTTTCAAAAATTTTTTTTTCTCAAACAATTGCTCTCAATTTGCTCTACTAATTAAAAAAAAAAAATATTATAATTTTGCATTATTTATAATAATTGAAAATTAACTAATAGTAATAGACCTGGAGCAATTACGGATTCTAATAGAGCATTTAAAGAGCAATTAATTGACATATGATTTAATTAAAAAAAAATTATTCTACGCTAACTTCCTTCCGGTCTCCGATTCTAAATAAAAACTTCAAATAAAAATTATCCACAAGATGGCGCCCGAGTAAAGTTCTTAATTTTTCCAAAAAATTTTCACCAAAACTCAAATTGATTTCCAAAACCTGGAACAAAAAAATAAATGAAAAACAATCACCACCAAAAAAAGTCAAAAATTATAAAAATACATACCTTTTAATTGAAAATTCCACTTGAAGACTGTTGAGCGTGGAGGAGTCGACAAAATGGCGAGCTTACCAACAATCGCTACAGCGAAACTCATGGAACTCACCCGTGGTCGCTATAATCGATAAAAAATGGCGGCTGAGGACATGCGCCATGCGTGAATGTTATTTGTTAACGATATATATATATAGATATAGATAACATTGTAGGACTGTAGAGCAAGATTTTTGTTCATAACAATACACGGCAGTATATAACATATAACATAATCATAACTCTTTATTTATAAAAGCTGGTAAGTATGTATTAGTGTTATATATTTATATATTTATCACTAGTGATTTTTTAACACTTAAATACTAGTATTATATATTAATATATTATTATGTACTGTTACTGTTACAGGGATATTATAAATGCATATAGAATATAATCGATATTGTGAAACTAAAATACAATCCTCGGAATGATTATCATAAATATAAAACATGTCTTAAAATATGATATTAAATAATATCATAATAATAACAACGTTGTCCAAAAAATATTACAAGTTAAACAAGAAAAAATTCAAGGAACTCTCGCATGGATTTAACTCATCAATTTTTACTATGGAAATTATCAGTGGAATTTTTGGGTTTTGTTATTATTCATTATAGTTGTTAATTGTTATCAGTAAATTGATAATTATTGTTAACAAGAAGAAGAAGAAGATTTATTATGATCGACAAACGAGTTTACTGGTATTTGTTTTTATTCATTTTTTTCGAGTCCACTCTTCTAATTAGACCGTCTTTTCATGGTCACAATAATGGTAAGTTTTTTTCTTTTTCTTTTTATTATTATTTAACAATATCAAATTTTTTATTATTATTATTTTGATTCAAAATTTCATTATTATTATTATTATTATTATTATTATTGTTATTATTATTATTAATGTCATTGTAAATGACTTGATATTTTTTAAAAATCATAATAAAATTCTGAGTTAAAATTATTATTATTATTAAATATCAAATTTTTATAATTATAATTTTGAATAAAAAATTTATTATTATTATTATTATTATTAATCATCTGCTGCAAATTGAAAAGGCTGAAGTCATGGGAATTTAGGCTTACGAATATGGACTTGCTGACTGTGCTGTGAAATGCTCTTTTGATCTACCGTTGTGATATTGTCATGCATTACATACTTCTTTTTTCTTTCATTTCTATATAGAATTTATTAGTACTATATTAAAATCGAGATCGTTTTACTGATGATGAGAGACCTAATACTAAAACATTACTTTTTGCATATTTTCTTTTTTCATATTTTTTACTGATTTATTACTTTGATGTATATTAATGCACACACTTTGTATATTACTTTGTATCTTTTGGCTGTCAAGGGACTGAGTCCCACGGCCACTCAATAAATTACATTACATTATTATTATTATTATTATTATTATTATTATTAAATATCAAATTTTTATAATTATAATTTTGAATAAAAAATTTATTATTATTATTATTATTATTATTATTATTATTATTATAACAATAATAATAATGAAAATAAAAATAATAATTTTGGCTCCGCTCATTATTATCATTATTATTATTATTATTATTATTATTATTATTATTATTATTATTATTATTATTATTAATATCATTATGAATGACTTGATATTTTTTAAATATCATAATAATAAAATTTTCAGTTCAACTTATTGTTATTATTATTATTAAAAAATATCAAATTTTTTTAAATTATAATTTTGAATCAAAATTTTATTATTATTATTATTATTATTATTTTTACTTTTATTTAAAAATTGAAAATTTTTAACAATTATAATTTTAAATCAACATTTTATTTTAATTATTATTGTTATTATTAATTTGATTATTATTAATAATAATAATAGTAGAAGTTTTATTTTTTAGACGTTATACTTAAAAAAACAAAATGAGTAATGGATAAATTCTTACAGTAATTAAATGATAATAACTTTATGATAGTAATTAAAATGCCTAAAGCATTTAAAGTCACATAAGACCTTGTTTTTTTTTTCAAAAGAATATTTTTTTTTTTTTTTTCATTTTTCATATCTAATTTGCAATTCTTGCATAATAAATATCTTTTAAATTCTTATATTTAAGTTTGATTTGTTGATAATTTTTTTTATCTAATAGAAAATTTTTTTTTTTCAGCGTTTGTTCAAGAAGAGAATGACGTAGATTATTTGTTGGAGAACATCCCAATGAAGATGCACAAGGTAATCGATGTGGAGCGAGTCGTTTGTTATTGATAATTAACAATCGACAATTTTTATTACTTTTAACTGTTCTAATTAGACTTTAAATGGAATTCAAGAGAATTTGATTTCAACACAATTAAGTTATTAGTTTGGAATCGAAAATTTTTGATGGAATTGTTTTAAGTCATTGATTTTATTTTCGAAGATTTGAACGAACTTTAATGAATGACAATTATTAGTAATTTTTTTTTCATTTTCAAACAATTTTTTGTAAAATTCCTACAAAATTAAATTTTTATTTAAAAATTCTTCATAATTTTATAAAAATTCAATTTTTTAACAATCATTAATATTTTCCTAAAAATTTTATTACAAATAAATTTAACAAATTTCATACAAAAAATTAAGAAAAGCAATAAAAAAGATTGAATTTATTTTTTAATCTTTCTAAATTGTTAATAAAAATGAAAAATTATTTGAAATTATTAAAAAAAAAAATTTTTTTATCTTCCAGGAATTCAGCAGTCCCGGGTACGATTTCGGCTAAGTATAATTTTTTTTATTCTAATCTCCAAACTCTAACAATAACTTCCATTCCAGGGAAGATAAAAAGCGCCCAGATTCACCTCCGTACGTCAAGTTTGAGCCTAGTATTCTGGACTTCAAAGAACGGTAAGCTAAAACTTAAAATAATAATTTGTATATAGAAAAAACAGATTCAATTCAAAAACAGGTTCAATTCCCAGCATAGTCCGAATGTTTTAAATCATTTTTCTAATTTAAAACCTCCAATTTTCTATCAACTATCCGAATTAAAAACTAAAATTTATTCGATCTAAAATTCAAATTTTTTTTTGTGTAATTTTTACCAGTTAATAAACCCGCTTAATTTCAGCCAACTGGGTGTTCCGCACCAGGAAACCGTGACCCTGATAAACAAGGACGAGAACCGAACGATCCACCTTACATCAATCTCAGGAAGCACGCAGCACTTTCACTCTTCATTCTTCCAGAACAAAGTGATCCCGCCATCAGGGAACACCAGCTTCAACGTAGTGTTCCTTGGCCGTGAAGAAGGTGAAATCGAGAGCCACTTGCAGATCCACACCTCGGAAGGATCCTTCAAGTACCACGTGAAGGGCCTGAGCATATCTTCCCCGTACCGCTTAAGACCAGTGATCGGAGTGAAACTTCCCCTGAACGCGTCGTTCACCCCGTTGATCTACATGCACAACCCTCACAGTGAAACGATCCAAGTAGTGGAAGTGTACAGCTCCGGGGGTGAGTTCCAGCTTGAGCTGCCGACTGGAGAAGCCGAGGGTCCGCGCGAACTCTGGGAAATTCCCGCGTACCAGACCAAGCCTGTCATTCGCTTGCACTTCAACGCGTACATGGAAAAGAACCACACCGCGTATGTTCGGTTCAAAATGAACAACAGCGCAGAGTTAATGGTAGTCGCCGTGGAAATTGAAGTGGGCAATGGGGCTGGAATTCACTGGGCGGGTCAGAGCGCCTGGATCAACTTCGGAGTCGGTGGCTCGCTTCAATCGCCCCTGAGCTATCCAATAGTGTTGCGAAATAGTGCTAAAAAACCTGTCCGGGTGTTGAACGTCATTAGCACGCCGATATCCAAGGCCCTGAAGATCAACTTCGAGCCGATGACGATCCCCCCGGACACAGACATTCCCTTAACAGTTGGCACCCTGACCTACGACTGGAAGTCTGCCCTGGACCTAAAGCATTTAAGAGGGAAGTTAGTGATCAAGAGCTTGGGTCCTGGTGGCAGCAACCAGAAAATTTCCATACCCTGGACTGCTGAAGTTCTCCAAGGCGGGCTTGAGCTGAATGCCACTGTCACCCATTATTGTCCGCCTTACTCTCATGAGCCGAGGAATTTCAGTGTAGTGAACCGGTTTAGTGTCCCCCTGGCGATAACGAACGTTACCTTGGCGCCATCTGCCCGGTTGCTATTCAAACTCAGCAACTTTAGTCCGCGAATCTTGAAACCTGGTGAGAAGTTGACATTATTTACTTTGACGCTGCAAAAGAACAGCAAAGATGATGATAAGCTAGACTCCTCTGTGTTTATTTACTCAAATGTCTCCACCACGGTGGTTCCCCTACTGATCTACAACGGGAAGGTCAACAAGGTGATTCCTGTTGAGTATGATGACGATCAGCAGCGTGGGGTGATGAACTTTGGAACTGTTAGCAGTGGGACTGAAAACGAGGCTGTCTTTGCTCTGGAAAACAAGAACCCGGTGAACATTGAACTTCACGGCTGGGGGGTCAACATGCCTGGAGCGGTGCTAGAATTGATGGGCTGCCAGTTTGGACCTACGGAACTGTTCAGCAAGGGACTTAGGAATATAACAGCCTGCGCGGTTTCTGGCAGCCAGAACATCAAGCCGAATTATCTTGCGATTTTCAAGATCAAGGTGAAGACACCAACCGTTGAAGAGGATACTATTGTCGGAGATGTCTTTGTAAGGACTACCTACGAGCGGCTAACCATTCCCGTGTACATGCGAGTCGCTCATGGAAAGATCACCCTGAAGAAGCTGACATTTACAGACTGCTTTCCTGGGTCAGTTTGCACGCATGCACTGAAGATTCACTCTTCCTTTGCAAGGCCGATGAAAGTTCTGTCTGTAGCTGCAACTAACAAAGACGCAAGGGTTCATTACTTACCACTGGAGCAGACGGTGACCATCACCAAGGGAGACAACAACATAGGAACCATTGTCATCGACACTGCAATTACTTGCAAGCAGAATTGTTACTTAGGACTGTCCTTGAACACGACCACCGGCGCCCAATGGCTGCAAACCATGAACCTGCCATCCCACGTCAGGGACCTGGACCTGAACTTGCTAAACTCTAGGTACAACAGGTTTCTGAACACCTCCAGCAACGACACCATCGACAACATCACCATGAAACTTGAAACTACCGAAGTTCGTGGTTATAAATTCAACATCAACGTCAGACCGAACTGGCCGTCAATCCTGGAGACCCAGGGCAGGTCCAACAAGAGCTTGGTCTTCCCGCTGACTCAGGTAGGGAACACCAGCTTCAAAACCCTGAAGATTCATAATCCCAGTGCTAAGGTGATAGTGGTTCAATTAGTGATGGACTGGCTCTACCCTCAAGGACAGCGGCTGTACCACATGCTACCTTCTAGGTTCAAAACTCCCTGCAACGACTGCGCAGCTTCTGATGACTTCAAACTCACTGATGACCCAGTCCTGGAAGAAGAGCGTCGGCGCTTTGAATCTTTCTGGAACATCGTCGTCAAGAAGAATTCTTTTGCTTTGGTACTTCAGCCAAACGCTACCAAGATCCTTAGAGTGTCCTATACCCCTAAATCATCGGGACTAACCACCGGGCTGCTGTACGTAAGAAATAATCTGACTATCCTGGAAGTAGTTCGCTTTGTCGGCAGGGGAGGGTACGCTCAATTCAAGTTTGGGAATAGGAAGCCCAACTCTCCTACGCCCCTGCTGTTTGAATTGTCCGACAAGCACCTGAAGGATTGCGAAAGGGAGCGACTTCGAAAGAACCCAGTTCCTAACCTGACCGTAAAGAGGTCCTTCACTGCAAGAAACACCGGAGAGCTACCGATCAACATCTATGGGTTCTTCATCAACGGTCTCCAATGCGTCGGGTACGGGTTCAAGGTCCTCAACTGCGAGCCCTTTGTCCTCCAGCCGAACGCCACCAGGAAGATTGACATCGCGTTCACTCCCGACTTCACTCTCGCCAGGATCGAACGGACCTTGATGATCTCCACCAGCCTTGGGACTGAAGACGACAAGAACAACTTGACCCGCGGAATGGTCAAGCTGACCCTACTGACGACTGTCCCAATGCATAGCTTGGAACTCTGTTCCCGGGTCCTAGTCCGGCCATCTTGGGAACGTCCAGTTCAATGGGCTGCTGTCAGCTTGTCCTGTATCCTCCTGATCTGCGTCCTTGCCATATCTTTTCTGGAAGCTGATAGGATCCTCAGGAACGCATTGGTGACTATGTCGAGAAACAACGCTAGCACGGTTCAGCCTTTGGATCTCCGATCTTTAGCGGTCAGGGAGGATAAAGTGGTGACTAAAAAGGAAGAGTGGAGTGGAAAGAAGAAAGACAAGGATAAAGAGAAGGAGAAAGACAGGTTCAAGATTCCTGATTGGTCTCCTGAGGAAGAAAGGAGGTTCAAAATTGATATGCAGATGAAAGACGAGAAGATGGCTGCCTTGGAGGAGGAAGAGGTCAAGAAGGTTAAGAAGAAGGAAGACAAGAGTCCTAAGTGTGTCAAGAATGTGGAGAAGAGGAAGCACAATAGTAATAAGAATGATACTAATAGTAATAATAATAATAACAATAGTGGTAGTAATAATAATAATAATAATAATAATAATAATAATAATAATAATAATAATAGTAATAACAATGGTAGTACGTACAAAAAATATGAAACTAGTCAAAAAACCTATTCGGAAGAAGAGACATCTTCCACTACCACCGAAAGCAGTTTGCAAGAAGACGCTTTTAAAGAAGCGCCACCTAAAATGGAGAAGGTAGGCAAGAAAGCGCCGAAGAAGAAGCCGAGAGTTCAGGAACGGGTCCAACAGGTGGCGCCACTGCCTGATAATTACGAAGGGGACTGCGACGATGACGAGTACTATGAAAACGGGAAGGAGAGGGAGAACAATGTAAACAAATGGCGGACAAACACGAACAAGGGGAAGAAGGAGGTGAAGATTGTCGTGGAGAAACAAGTTAAGAAAATGGCGCCGAAGAAAGACAAGATAGCGCAGAAAAGGAGAAATGATAAGAAAGTGGTTCTTGCGGAGAACAAGGAGATGAAGACGGTTCAAGTACCAGTGGTTCCTCCACCTCCGCCATGTTGGGGGGAGAACAGGGCGAAGTTCAGTGACGTCGTGAGAAGTACTGAGTGCTTTGGGAAGGAGAAAAAAGAGGAGAAGGAGAAGGAGTGGTTTGATAAGGTGACACCTAAACAGGAGCTTGCGCAGAAGGAAGCCATTGTGTATGCGCAGAACCAAGTTAAGAGGAGGGAGGAGAGTTTAAGCTCGATTCTTAACACTCCGTCGAATAGTTTCTTTATTAACACATTCGAGACGAACTACGAACCGGAATTGGTTCCATATGACGATCTTCCGGAGACGGACGAACCTTTGGTGGAACTGGAGAGTCTAGAAGAGGATACCAGGAATGGGCTGTGGACAGACAAGAGTCCGATGATGGGCTTGCTGGAGAACTACGCTGGGTTAGAGAAAGAGAAGTTGAGTAATGGGATTGACGATTCGTTGAAGGATAATTGGCTGGCTGTGGAAACTAATTGGGAACCGTTGTATACTAGAGGAGCTGTGGGAGAGGAGAGGAGTGGGGTATGGGGAGTTAACACTGGCGGAGTTTGGGCTGCTGCACCCTGGGGCGCGCCTACGCCTCCCACCCCGGTCACGGAAGAGGTTCAGGTAAGTTAGAAATTTAAAAATTTACGTAGAGTGCGACCTGGGGATTGTCGCTCCGAGTAAAATGAGTATACACACTTGGGGGGTTAACCGGTGATTAATGCTAAATTAATTGATTAATATTTTATTAATCGATTAATCAAAATATTGACCTGTGAGGTATCGAGTCGTGCGAGGTGTCATTTTTTAGGAAATTTTGTTAGCTTTTCAACTAGCGTACTCAAATTGCTCGGAAAAATTCCTGGGCCGCAGAAATCAGGGTAATGTGAGCCAGGAAATTAATTGCGGGTTTTTTTCTTAGGAACGCTCCGGATTCGACCCCTTCAGATCTCTGAGTACAATTTGGACACCAAATACGAGTTGGGACACGAAGAAAGAATAGTTATTTATTTATTTGTTAGTTTTTTTTTTAACTTCCCGTTAAGAAAATTAAAAATTTTCAGTTGGGAAGTTATTTAAGTTCTTTAAACGCCAATGCGTTTATATGTGATAAGGATGATAAGAATTGGTTGTGATTTTGATTGTCGATATTTTTTCTTCGCACACTTGTTAACTTATTCAGCAGATAATTGAGAAATTTTTTTTTTTATGAAAAAATCACTCACTTTGTAAAATTTATCAATGGCAATCGCGAAATTTAAAATAAAAAATTATTATGAATTTTTTTGAGGTTTTTACTCACCCAATAATTTTTAATTTTAATTATTAATAATTTTTTGAGGCCGGCAATGGCTCGGTCGGCTCAATGCTCGCTTTTCGAAAGAGTGGGACCCGGGTTCGATCCCAGCACGCACCACTATTTTTCAGTTATTATAACTAAAAAAAATATGTGCGTTACATGTTACATTGCCTGCCTCTGCAAGTGGCAGAGATAGCCGGGCGGCACACGTCTGACTTGGGCGATCACTCAGTTAAGCTACAACTTAACTGAGTGACCACTCTAGTCAGCGTTGGCTAGCCCGAGGGATCTCTGTACACTAGGAGTAGGACCTAATGCTCCAGTGGTCGATAAAGAAGAGAAGTTCTTTATCAATCACTGTAGACTTAGCCCAGCTCCGACTGTACTATCATGGGTTTTCTCTGTGGTTTCCCCATGGTTCTGTTCCAAGCCTGAAAAGGTAAGGTTCAGGGTGAATACGGTACAGAAAACACAAGTCGGGCCACAGCCGCAAATATAAGTCCAGTCGTCCCTGGCTCCGTTCCTCTCCTTAAACGCAACAAGCGGTCGAAGCGGTAGCTCCCGCGCGAATAAGAGGTGGAACGGCCCCACGAACGAACCTTCAAGTGCAGGTAACCAAAGCGAATCATTAATGTTGAGAAAGGCTTGGGGTGTAAAGGGGCTGAGAAGCCTATACACTAGCAACAAAATATAAAAAAAAAAAAAATTATTAATAATTTTTATTTAACTATTTTTACACTAATTTTTTTTTAATTCACAAAATTAAGGCTTGGTGGCGATAATCAAGCTTGACACGCAGCGTTTTGTTAATTCGTCGCAGGTCATAGCGCCACAGCAGGATTTTGTGTCTTCGCACTGAAAGTTTAAGAAATTATTAAATTTGGAGAAATAATTATAATTATTAGTAATTTAACTTACCAACTGGCCGCCAAGCTTGCAAGGCAAGAGAATTCCATAACTTTGGATGATTAATATCAGTCCAATTAGGAAGAAGAGCAAAATTTTCGACATTGATCCTGAGAGGTGTTAGAAGTTTAGCGAGTTAATTTCGGAAGCTTGAAAAAACTAAGAACCGCTAATTGATGAGAGAGCTGTAAGTATATATAGGCTTTTAGGGTAAAATTATCAATAGCTTAGAGTCCATTGATAATGTCTTTAAAGAGAAGATAAGATTAATTTCTAGTCACTTGAGAATATTATATTGGGTAATTACCGAAATCTAGATAATTTATTTAGTTCGAATGTAATAAATTATTCTTGAAGAGATAATCGTAGAAAACAAATACTTTTCATGTAAGTTTATGTGAATTTTTGTGTTTAAGGTCAAATACCCAGTAATTGAACACATATAAAAATGGGACCAGTACTTGAACAGACTTTTCGAATTGTTGTAATACAAAATCCGTATATTTATTATGAGTAATATGGGCATGTAATAACACCGGCACACAAAAAAAAAAAAGCTAGTGGAATGTACTTTGGACCGGACCTACCTACCGACATGTATTTCGACCCGCTGAATCCGAATTTCAAGTCCGTTTGGCCCGGTCACCCTCCAGGTTTGAGTAAAATGCAAAAAACCTCAAAAAAGGGCAAAAAACTGCAGTCACAGCAATAAAAAAATTTTTGTGGACCCGGATCACGTATAATTTTTATGTATTTCAATTTACTGAATCTAAATCTAAAAGTTACTTAGCCCGATGAGCCGTTCAAATTTGAAAAATAACGAAAAACCCAAAAAAAATTGCAAAAAATCATGAAAAATTGAAGTTTTCGAAATAAAATTCGTTTTAGACTCGAATTGAGTATGATTTTCATGTATTTTGTTCCGCTGAGTTTGAATCTGAAGTTTTCTTTCCCCGCTAACGTTTTAAAATTAAAAAAAATCGGGAAAATTGCAGTTACAAATATGAAAAAAAAATCTATAAAATATGATTGAATACTTTTTTTGTATTTTTTCACGCATAAAATACAAGTTGAGAATTTGAAACTATGACAAATTGTAATTTCTATAAAAAATGACGTATAACTAGAATAAAAAGAACGATTTTCTCGAATTTCAAAATGTTCTTCGTTGGTATCGAACTCTTTTGTTCTCAAACGATCTACGCAGTGGATTTTCCTTCCGCTTGTTATTATCTCTTGGTGTATCCCTTTCAAGTGTCCAGTGAACCACTACTATGTGTACTACTATTGTTTCCAGTATTTGAAAGAAAAATTTTCTGCGATAAGTGATGCAAAATCAAAAGAAGGAATTTTTGATGGATCCCAAATTCGAACTCTATTTCAGTATCCAAATTTTATAGAGTAAATGAACGAGACGGAGAGAGCAGCTTGGGTAAGTTTCAAAAATGTGTCTCAAAACTTTTAAGGAAATCAAAGAAACGAAAACAACAGGACGTTAGTAGAAAAATTGGTGACAAATTACAAAAATTAAGTTTTCTTAATGAACCTCAAACTACACTTCATGGATTCTCACATTGACCACTTTCCTGAAAATCTTAGAGACTACAATGAAAAACAGAAAGAATGATTCCATCAAGACATAAGTGAAATGGAGACTCTAGGTATCAAAGAAATTGGAATATTAATACGATGGCAGATTTTTGCTGGATACTTAAAAGGGATACACCAAGAGATAATAACAAACGGAAGGAAAATCCACTGCGTAGATCGTTTCCGAACAAAAGAGTTCGATATCAACGAAGAACATTTTGAAATTCGAGAAAATCGTTCTTTTTATTCTAGTTATACGTCATTTTTTATAGAAATTACAATTTTTCATAGTTTCAAATTCTCAACTTGTATTTTATGCGTGAAAAAATACAAAAAAAGTATTCAATCATATTTTATAGATTTTTTTTTCATATTTGTAACTGCAATTTTCCCGATTTTTTTTAATTTTAAAACGTTAGCGGGGAAAGAAAACTTCAGATTCAAACTCAGCGGAACAAAATACATGAAAATCATATTCAATTCGAGTCTAAAACGAATTTTATTTCGAAAACTTCAATTTTTCATGATTTTTTGCAATTTTTTTTGGGTTTTTCGTTATTTTTCAAATTTGAACGGCTCATCGGGCTAAGTAACTTTTAGATTTAGATTCAGTAAATTGAAATACATAAAAATTATACGTGATCCGGGTCCACAAAAATTTTTTTATTGCTGTGACTGCAGTTTTTTGCCCTTTTTTGAGCTTTTTTGCATTTTACTCAAAACTGGAGGGTGACCGGGCCAAACGGACTTGAAATTCGGATTCAGCGGGTCGATATATATGTCGGTAGGTAGGTAGTCCGGTCCAAAGTACATTCCACTTTTTTTTTTGTGTGCTGGTGTAATTATTCAATGATACATCAGTAATTGATTTCTGTAAGTTTTTTCAATTATAAATCAAAACAATTATATTTTTGTTAACTTAAAATTTTACATGTCGAGAATAGCCGATAGATGCTATTTTTTTCATGAAAAAGGTACTAAACCGTAAACCGAAAAATCAGTAAAAAAAAACGGTATATCATATAAAGTAAAAAAAATTGTACCACCCAATGAAATAGTCTTAGCTAAATAATATATATTTTTTGCAAAGGCATAAACTATAATTTTTATATTAAATTTTAGCATTTAACTATACCTCCAAATTTTCAAAGCGGTACCCAGAACTTGAACAAGCGGGGGCCCTATAATTTTAACAGCACTAATCTCTATTAGGTTTATAGACTAGTGATCAGCATTGTGATTTGTATTAATTACTGCAAATTAAATAATTTTTATAGCTAAAAATTAGTGTAGTTAAAAATTATTGAACGTTTTGAATTGAGTTTTTTTGATTTATAATTGAAAATTTGCTTTGTCATTCATAAAAAATATAATTAAAAAATTAAAAACAAATATTTCTCATTTTTTAATGAACATATTAAATATTCATAGTATTATTTTCAATATTATTCAACAATATGTTATAATTCTTTTGATATTTCAGTAAAACGTTGAAAATTTTTGGTGTGCCTATTGCCATATATTTTATTAATTCAACTACTGCTCCCGGAGTGTTCATCTACTGCGGCTTGTCAGTATTGATTGTTCAACTATTACTCCTTTCATAGTCTATGTTAAAAACATCGTCAAAATATAAATACTTAATTATCTTAGTTATTTTGCACTTCAATTCAGAATTGTTTATATCTTCTTGAAAATCACTAATTTGAAATAATAATTTCTTCTTTATATATTAACGTAGTTCCAGCGTGGTATAGTATAGTCAGAGCATTTACTATAGACAAAAATTTAAAAGCCTCGGCACACAGACGTTCACATATACAATTACATATTGTTAGTTCTAGTGATCTGGCAACGTTGCTCTTGAAAACCGTGAAAGATTTGAATTTCCCGCTTTTTATGCTACACTATTACAGGGAGCGTTACGCACGGCATTGCCGGATCACTATAAATTGTTCAATGAGCAGGTTAGAAATGGATCGAAAATTATTTTTTTTAATTATTATAACTCGATAACGAAACGGTGAGGTGCTACTTTTATTTGTTTAACTTATTCTAAAAACATTTTTCAACACTCTCCTAATTTTTTTTCCAATTCTGTCGAGAGAATTTTTTAATATAATAAAAAATAGTTGGAGAGACCGGACATTTTACATACTTTAAATGGAACATGACCCTCAAAATCGCCAACTTTGACTTTAAATATCTCGCGATCTAAACGGTCAAAAATTATGAAATTTTAGGAATTTATAAATAAAGCTATTCTGAACCCATAATAAAAATTTCAGCCGAATCTGTCGAAAAGTGGTTTTATGTTGGAACTACCTTAAAAGTAGGCTCCCTGGCGAAATTTCAAAAAATCGAAAATTTTTTTTTTTCATTTTTTTCCTCGTTACGTCATAATTTTATCGACCAAAAAAAATAAGTTCCCGAAAGTTTCAATTCAAAATTTAAATTTTGAAAGGTCGCTCATAATTTTCTTTTAATTTCAGAGTCAAAAAAAGCTAATCCAATTAAATAGTCACTTTCTGAAACTTTCAGGAAAATCTTTTTTTTGGTCTATAAAATTATGACGTAACGGGTTAAATAAATAAAAAAAAAAAACAAATTCTATTTTTAACGATTTTTAAAATTTTTAAAAATTTGGAGCGACCTCTTAAAAAAATTTTTTTAGGCTGTCTTTTGGAGAGAGGTTTTAAAACATCAAAAACTAACATTTCTTCACTTGAGACTCAAAAAAAAAAAATAGTCGGTTTTTTTGCGCCACCCTAATTTTTATACAACTTCATATATAATTTTATATGTCTCTATGTAATCTCATGAAAAGTTACATAAATTAATGCAATAATTTCATAAAGCTCATACAATTATACCCAATTTTGCAAAACTTTATATTATTTCATATAACTTCACATAATTTTTACAACTTCATATAATTTTACATAATTATACGTAACTTCTTACAATTTTTATAATTTGATATAACTTTATACATGAAATTATACAAAAATTTTATATAGTTTATAATTTTACACAATTATACAATGCTTCATAAATTGTGTATTATTACTTCATAGAATTTTACATAATTTAATATAATTTTATATAACTTCATGCAATTTTTTATAATTTCCTATTTCTTCAAAGAATTTTAGACAATTTTTCAGAATTTCATAAAATTATATAAACTGTAAGTATTATTATATAATATTCGATATAATTATACACAACTTCATATAATTATTTATAACTTTATATAATTTTACAAAATTTTCTTTAACTTCACGTTATTTTACATATTTTTATACAACTTAGTAAATCAATTTATACGACTTCATATTATTTTATATAACTTTTATATAATTTTATTTAATTTCGTACATTTTACATAATATTATATAAATTAATTGATTTAATTTATTAATTTATCTAAATTTATTAATATAATTATTTCTGATATTTAAATTCAAATCAAAAAGTTAAATTTTTCCCGCCAGAAAATCGACCGCCATTTTTAAACTCACTTTCAGCAACTTCAAGTCAAACACAAAAACATAACCATTAAATTTTCCAATCAAAACACCATAACACAAAAATAAACACCGATAATAATAACATCCAGAAAAAATACTTTTTCTCGTAATAAACTCAAACTAATAAAAATAATCAAAAGTGAAATTAAAAAAAAACAGCTATAATAATAAAATACCGAAAAAAAAAAAAAAACAAGTGCAAAATGTTCCGGAAACAAAATAACAATTTTTTACCTTGACTCCAAACAAAACCTAAAAATTTTGACAGTTGACAGAAATTAAAAAAAAAAATAGCAATAACAGAAAAAAAATGTTTCCTACAGAAATTTGGGAGCTGATAATAAATTTCATAAACGACCCGGGGGAGCTCATGCGGCTGAGGTGCGTCTGCCGGAAATTCCACGACCTGATTGAAGTGAAGCTGGTGAACTCAAAGCTATGGGAGAATTTGTGTCTGGAGCACAATATTTTACCCTGGAAGGATCATATTGTCAGGACGAGGTTCCCAAAGGTTGTAAATAACAAAAACTTCTCTCTTGATCTCCACCAGCGCACCTGGAAAAGGATTTTTTTTTCGTACAAAAAGTGGTCCGTTTTACCCAAGGTTGAGAAAAAGTATGATAGCTTTGATTTTGGTGGAAAATTTGGTGACGGAAATGCCTCAATTACTTGTACTAGTATTTGGAGTAAGTTTTTTTTTAATTTTTAAAATTTAAAAAAAAAAAAAAATTTTTTTTAATAAATTTGTTATGAATTAAAATTTAATTTTTTGAGAAAAAAAAAAATTATATAATTTTTTTACAAAAAATGAATTTTAAAAATTACAAAAAAATTTTTTTTTATCTTAAAAAATTAAAATTTTAGTTCATAATTTATTTAAAAAAATTAGAAAATTTTTCTTAAATAAGTAATAAGAACTTAATTAAATTTTTTTATTGTAATAAATTATCTATATTATTAAGAGAATAAGAAAAATTTTGTCTCCAAAATAGTCATATGATAAAATCATTTTTTTTTTAGTAAAATTTAGTGTCATTGCAAAGGTCTTGACTTGAAGTTGTGCCTTTTCAAGGTTTCATATCATTCTTACCGATAGTCAATTTATTATAAGTATTTAGGCTGCATTTAAAAATACTCTACCTCTAGATACATGATTAAGAAATGACCTTGTATCTTGTAAACTATTGATATTTTTCAAGATATAAGCTCACCCCGACATTACACTCCTCAAGACCTTTCATTTGAGTACCCACATCAATTTTTCATATATTTATATATAATATATATGTATATATGAAAAATATATAAAAACTGCATGTGGGTACTCAAATGAAAGCTCTTGATAAGTGTAACATCAGGATGAGCTTATATCTTTAAAATATATATTATATATATATGTATATATGCTAAATTAATTTTCATTAATTAAGAAATGACCTTGTATCTTGTGAATTATTGAAATTTTTAACGATATAAGCTCACCCCGACATTACACTCATCAAGAGCTTTCATTTGAGTACCCACATCAATTTTCTATATATTTATTATATTTATATATATTATACATATGTATTATCAAAAATATAT